TATACTACCAAATGAAGATACATGTTCTGACACCTCGTGTGCCTTCGCCTGCCATGGTCGTGATCGTAACAACCTTGCAAACACCAAAAACGCGCTTAGCCGCAAAAACGCCATCAATACCGCAAGTCGTACGCTCATGTAATGATATGCTAAATACTCGCAATGCAAAGCGAGACTAACCAGGAAATGCAAATCGCTTAAGGTTAAACAACGGTTTTCGGGGTGAGCACTCGCTCTCGGCTTCGCTATCCGGAACAAGGAGGTCTTCGCTCCCTTTCAGCGATGATCTCCTCCTCTTCGCAGGCGTCATAGGAGGCGGTGAGCTCGCGGCTATGACTACCTCGGCCTCTATAGCCGCCTCTACAGCCGCCCAAGCAGAGACTGCAAGTTTCACGTCTACATCTTTCTTGGACGGTGTTCCAGGGATGATGGGTTCCTCATCGGGCGCCGAAAAGGTTGTAAGAGCAGAAGCTTGAGATGGCGGCGTTGGTTGCCATGCCTCAGTGGGCCGACGGTTCAGACGGCTCTTACTAGCTCTTGGCATACCCGGTGCTGGTGAGGGAGACTTGTATGTGAACTTTGATCGCAGCTCACTCATTGTGGATGCGATTGCAGCGCTAAAGGCCGTTTCGGGCTCGGGGGAAGATGCCGGCGTGAGAGTGCCGATAGTATCTTGTGACTGCGCAGTGCTGCCCCTGGAGAAGACAGTCGACTGTGATTCGCTCCTAAAGCTGGACTGTGTATCACTGAAGACCCGTAGCTTCTTCTTAGGGGCAGACGCCGCTTGCTCTAAATCAGCCACTTCGGCCATAACCTCCTGTATTGAGTCATCCGAATAGAGCTCGAAGTCCTGATCGGTCTTCCTCCTACTCTTCTCTCGGTGTAAGGTTGGGCTTGGTTCTGGTATAGAAGGTGCGAAAAATTGGCTCCGTACAACACCCTCGTCGCCAGCGGCGAGTGTCTCGGAGACAGAATCTGAGCACAGTCGTTGTCTCTTAGAAGGATGCGGAACCGAACGTCTACCCGCAGTTGGATCAGTCATGGTGCGTCGTGGTGGTTGAGGCGCCGTACTAGGCGTAGGAGGGTTAGGCCGTAAACGGGAAATCGGAGCAGGCACTGCAGCCCATCCATTAGACTCTCTCTGTTGTTCCAGCAATACTTGCTGACTGGGTGAGGGTGTGAAAACATTGGGCGACAACTCGGCCAATGGCGTACGCTTAGGCTTGAAGAACGAATCTATCGGCTTCGAGCCTTTCGCGTCGGGTGTCTGAACAAGTGTCGAGGCTCTCCGAGAGGGACCAAACGATTTTCTGCCAGGCCTACTGTTGCTCGTGATGCTCATCGGAAGTTTTGTGCGTGGATATAGGTCACCACTTGCAACACCCATGGCGAGGTGTGCAGGTACCTCCTCTCCAATATAAGGCATATCAGCAAGATCGACCCCTTCATCGAGTGGCGTAAGATTGACCAGCTGCTTGGCGACCGGACAGTAGACCCATTGGTAAAGGAAGGTTTTCTCAGCCTGGTCAAACAATTCCAAGAAACCAGCGGGCACCTTGAGCTTGCCGTCGTATTGCGCAGCTTTGACGAGACGGTCGACAGTCTTGTGTTTCCGCAACATTCGATGGGCAGTCTTCAGGCCAAGTCCACCAATACCTGAGAGATAATCGCAACCGCTCAGAATGCACATTCTTCGAAAGTCGGCGTCGGACCATCCCACAAAGCTGACTTCCCTGCAGGCGGTGAAGTGATTCCGGTTGACCTCGATGCATTCTCCGTATTTGTCCAGCTTTGTTATCAGGCACTTGACGCCAAAGACGAGTAGATCGGAGTCCTCGGACAGGACCCCATGGATTATACCCTTCCGCTCCAGGTATGCGAGCTGCGAATCAGCTTCGTAAGGCGCGACGACGTACTCGATGTTGTGCTGCTTCAGTTCTTCGATGACCATCCGCGCCATTTCCGGCGTCACGTCCACGCTCTTCTGCAATTCCTGTTGCGCCTGTGCTGTCTTTCCGACCTTGAGGAGTTCCAGTCCGAGCCTCTTGCCCTCCTTTCTTCGTTCCCTTCGATCTTTCTCTGTGCCAGCTTTGCTCGGTAGGTTGTCTCCGTCGAATACTAGGTAGGGGGTGACGCCAAAGTGGATGAGCATGCGGACGCGGTGCATAACGAAGTCGACATATCTAGGGATTAAGGTCAGCAAATACTCGTCATCCATGGACGCATCAACGCATACTTGGTCGTCGGCTTTTCGAGCGCCAGGTCAATCGCACAGGTCGCGGTAGCGCGGTGGAGCCAGCCATACGTGTCGACGCCTATCGTCTTGCCGGCGTATTTCTTGAGGGTACATGGTTGCTGAACCGACTTGAGTAGCGGAAGGAGGCCTGTTCGGCTGTCAGTATTGGAGACCGGATGATTGGGTGTACCAACCTGAGATGCCCATCTTGTACCCTTTGCCGCTCACGCGTCCGTCCTATACAACGGGCAGAGAAGCAACAGCTACCGCAACATGGTGGTTTCGCAGTCTGGTGACGAGAGGAGAAACGCCCTTATGCACTGGGAATCAAGCGAAAAAGAAAAGGGAGCGCGTTCACATCGATAGTGTGGAGCAGTCATTGATCGCGGGTACACGAGATGACAGGAACGCGCCCCGCTAACATATGCACTAGTCCGCCTCCGACGGCTAGCGTGGTCGCGATCGCCGAGCGCCGATGGATATCCAAAATTTCTTGCGCAGACACCAACACCAAACAAAACGTCAAACTTTCAAAATGGTCAGCAATCGTCTCGACAAGGTGCATAAGAAGATCACGAAGAAGAAGGGAAAGAACCCCAATCTGCACGAGGGCAGCCGGGATACCAAGCGGTTACAGAGCGCAGCGCAGAGAGACGAAAAGCTCAATCGCGTTTTCAGACAACGAAAAGATCAAAATCGAACATACGGTATGCGTTATGTTTGCAATCGATCGACTGTATTATCGCTAACTAGTGATAGTTAATCGAGTCAAATCATTCCAATCATATACCGCGGAGCATGTTGCACCACTCAGCGTACCGGAGATCCAGGCCATGATTGAGGATTACTTAGGTCGCGATGACGAAGAGCTGGCCCAACTGAAGGCAGCTCGTCGTCCAGGACGACCAGCAAGCACGCGTCAAAATTTGTTAGAGATCCACCAGAACACCGAGCGAGACGAGTATGCTGCTGGCTTCTGGGTACCAGACCTTGAAGACGAGCTAAACCTGAAGAAGCTGAAGGAGTGGAACGGCGAGTGGGCTCAGCTGGCCACGCTCAAGTTTTCCAGAATCTCAAAGGAGGGGTTCAAGAAGGAGTCTAGCTTCCCGCCTAAGGGCATGTCATGAGCGAATGAGAAATGCATGGATCGGAGTAATTGAAGGAATCAGGCGTTTGGGAGCAAATGATAAAAGAATCGACATGGATCTAGAGCTGTGTCGTGGATATACCCAGAAAAGTATATTTATCACACTGCGGCTTACAACATATACACCAATGTCTTGGCCACTATTTCTAAGATCGAATTCCAAGCAAGGGGATGAAACCGTCGTACCCACGACATCCGTCACCCGGTGTTTTGACACCGACATACAATTTGTCCAAATCTGTGTCTGTCTGGTTCTGAGTTATAGGAAGTGCAAGTCAGATCTATATATCTCAGAGCGCTTCCCACCCTCAGTACAGTCATGCATCAACTCTACTTGTACTGTTGGAACGCAACATGCCAAACCTTCAGCCCCTTCGGCCCGCCCCTCAGATACGGAATAAGTTTCCCAAATTCCTCAGTCTTACGAAACTCCATATGCGCCTCTACACTCGGCCATCCGAAAAACGCTGCAAACAACTTCCCATCGACACCCTCACCCAAACTCTCCTGCTGATGCGGCTCAACACTCCATCCACCAATCACTCCTTTGGTCTCAGCATTAGGTATCTCGATTGCCATGGTGCGGAAAGTAGAGAACTGGGAGGTGTATTCCTCTTGGTTGTAATCGGAGGTGAAGAATGCGTTTACGCACTCGGTTACGGGCATGGTAAATGGGTTATCGCCTTCAGAGTGAGAAGTGGGAAAGTTGATGTGGAAGATCGTTGGGTCGTCGCCAGATGCAAGCTTTTCCATGATTGTGGCCAGAAAAGGTTGGTAGCCTGGGGTCTTTTCGAATGTTCTATGGTCCTCGATGGATTCCCATTCTACATTCGGTCAGCGAAAGTGCAAAGTGACACCACTTGCGCAGCGACCTATCGAATAAGACATGAAGGGTTACGTACCCACGGCCATTTGCACGGTATCTGGGTTCTCGATCTGTCGACCCCAGTACAATGCTTTGAAACCGGGCTGTTTGGCAATAGTGCTCAGGGTTGACTCCCATGTTTCTTTTGCTTCGCCGGATGAGAGATCGAGACCGGCTTTCATGGGAATGTACACAATCTCGGTAGCATTTTCCGACATTTTGGGTTTGTAATTTGTATGGATGTTGTGGTTAGTGGTTTGAGTGGTGGGGATTGAATAGAGGAGGTGGGACAGTAGTAAGAGGTCAGACAATGAGGCAATGAAGAAGTAGAGCTATGGTGGTGTTCTGTCGCATCTTGCTACATGCATGCGATGAGCTGTTTGCCCCACACCAACCTTGACGTAGGGAAGGGCCGAAAGTGGGGTACCAAAGTGGAACCAGACACCGATCGATCGAGGCCCTTCCAATATCCCACCCAAACCTTCCGCGTCCTGAGATTTATATATAACTGACATCGTAGTAACCCGAAAGCTTGCAGCAGCATTTGGTGAGCGTATAGGTGTCGCAACTTGACCTCCAACCTTATCCACGCCCAAGTACTTTCCATCTCACACCCAGATTGCTTCTCAGTTCCAGCCATGCTTGTTATAACATCTCCCCAAGGTATCAACACTACCATCACGCCAGAAGAAGAGCTCTTCTCAACCCTGCGCAGTCCCGTCATCGTGGTGCACACGTGTTGCCTCCACTTCTCAAGATTTGTCCGCATGATACACACGCGTTGGTACTGCAACCGAAACATTGCATTGCGAATGCGTCAAGTGTTCGGGTACAGAGTGCACAAGTATGTTGGCCTTCAACTCTGACCCACAATGTATTGTGGTCACAGCCGGTCGTGCGCCTCCTCGATTCCTCTTGTCTTGCACGCCCTGCTTCTTGTCTTGCACGCTGCTCTGCTTCTTGTCTTGCGCGCTGCTCTGCTTCTCGTCTTGCATGCTGCTCTGCTTCTTGTCTTGCACGCTGCTCTGCCGCTTGTCTTGCGTAATGTTCTGCTGCTTGTCTTGCGTGATGCTCTGCCGCTTGTCTTGCGTAATGCTCTGCTGCTTGTCTTGCGTGATGCTCTGCCGCTTGTCTCGCCCAATACTCTGCTCCTTGTCTCGCCCAGTAGTCTGCTTCTTGTCTTGCACGATGCTCTGCTTCTTGCCTCGCTCGATGCTCTGCTTCCTGTTTCGCTCGAAGCTCTGCTTCTCGCATCTCTTTCTTGTGCTGTCTTCGAGAATTCCCTTGCTCTCTTTTCGCACGTTGTTCAGCTTCTTCTTTCGCAAGTCGTTCTTTCCTGACCTGCTCAGCCAGCTCAGCCACAAGCCTTTGGCCTTCTTGATCCTTTCGTTTCGCGAGGTCATCGTTCAGCTGTTCGAGCCGTACCCTTGCTTCGTCCAGATGTGTCTGCTTGATCCGAATGGCATTTTCTGCGTTGATCGTGGCCAGTCTGATCTCGCTCTTCTCTTGTTCACTCAGTCCGTCGCTCAAGAAGGCAGATATGCCCAGTTTGGACAGTCTATCGCTTGCCAGCTTTATTCGATTGTCGTTGACCTTCTCGTTGAGGACTTCAAGTTCGGTCTCAAGAGACTTGACTGTGTTACGACATTGACGAATCTGTTCTTTCTGAGATCTCTCGTAGTTGAGCCACTCTTGTCGTATCCGATTGCTTTCTGCCTGTGCGCGCGCTTCTTTTTGCGCTTGTGTTTCGCGTTGCGGGTGCCACGGAGGGTTCGGCTGTGGTGCGGCTGGAGGTGGAGCGTAAGGTTGGCTGCCTGAGTACGAAGCAGTTCGTTGTTGACGGCTTCGATCGTATTCGCTCCTCGTGGACGCATCTTTGAGTACTTCCCATGCTGCGTTGATCTGTACCCGACGTTAGTACGGATCGCTCGTCCAAGCACGGTGGCTTCTCCACACAAGCTGAGTCGTTGCGGTCGCGTGTTGAGACCCGTTGTTCTTGTCTGGGTGATGCAATAGTGCGAGACGGCGGTACGCCGCTTTGATCTCGCCGTACAGCGCAGAAGGTCGCACTCCCAAGGTGACGTAGTAGTCTTGCGTAGGAAGTGCGGGAGCCATCTTCGCGCGGACGACCTAGGCAGGTGCTGCTAGGGACGTTGCGTGACCTATTTTTGCTGCATTCGAACGGAGGAACGTTCGAATGTACAAGCGCTATTAGCAAGATGCAGGAGTTTGTGTTGTCACAATTTCAACAGTTTGAGAGGACAGCAGTTGCAGCAACAGAACTGTCAGTTCCAATTTTGGACGCGCTGTGGGTTCGCGACGCGTTTGCAGACCGCCAAGGAAAGTGGGAGCAAGAGTGAAAGTGAGAGTGAGAAGTAGTCACCGTCAGTCAGTGAGCTAATCAAGGCCAATCAATATTCACGCTTCCCCATGCTCTATCTATGCAAGATGTATTACATTTTCCTTTTCGATCCCCCATGCATGCAATCGCTATCCAAACGTCCCAGATAACAAGTACGCTTAATCATACACAATCATAATCCAACACCGATATCGACAGAATGTACTACTCAATTGACCTTTGTGACCTTGATCCCACGGTCGAGAAGGGCATTCTTAAGACCCTTAGCGACCTGCTTCCTTGTCCTGGCGGTCTGTCGCAAGCTATCAATATTGTCGTCAACCAGGTCGCTCAAACGCGCGATCTCCTTGCCTGATGTCGGACTGCCTTCGGGTGTGTAGAACAAGCCATAGCCCTTGCTGGGCGTAGGCGTGCTCTCAACTTCGGGAGTTAGAGCACGACGGCTTAGATCGGTCAGGGTCATCTTGTTGCGGTTGGTAGGCGGGGTGGCGTAAGGCGTATCGGCAATGCTGCGGCGGAGATCCGTACCGCGTGACCGTCGGGGTGTACCAGCGTTGCGTGATGAAGATGAGGAAGGACGACTGGAGTCTGCGAGGCCGACCTTGCGCAATTGGGCCTCTAGGACTAGAATGTCGTTGTTCTTCTGCTCGGCCAGATTGGCCAACCTGAGGACTGTCTTCTTGACAGCCTCCATGGAAGGCACTGACTTTGTGCTGCCGTTCTGTGCGTTGTGGGACACCAGACGCGAGCGTAGGACTGCGACTGCATCTTCAGCCTTGCGTAGCGACGTTAAAAGCTGAGCATAGTCGTTGCGCAGAGCCTTCTGTCCATCGGCAAGCTCCTTTGGCAATGGTGCCTTTCGGAGAGCTTCTGCCTTTTCGGGGTCCTTGCGATTGATGATTTGGCGGCGTATGTCATTAAGACGAGTCATGAGCTTGGCCTTGTCGTGAAGAAGACGAGCGAGCTGTGTGAGCTTGAGGAGCACATCCTGTACCCGCCCTGCATCCAGCTCTTGTTCAAGCTGATCTTCAAGAGATCGCAAGGCTTGAATCTCGCACAAAGTGAAGTTCTCGAACCATGAGCCGTGAGGTCCCTGGTCTTGGACATCATCCAGCATACGTCGATCAATTTGGTGACCAGCCTGAGGCTGTAGGTGGTATTGTGTAAACGACTTGATAGATCGAGCGTTCCAGCCAAGTGCATCCACCATACCGTTGATGTCTTTGTAAATCAACTCGATCTGAGCGGCGTGACCTGTCTTGCTAGGTGATTTACCACCAGTGTAGTTCTGGTATGCGACAAACTCCTCCAGGTTCCGGCTCGGCTCGATCGGCTGCGCAAGCTGCGCGCGTATCCGCTCGTCCTCCTCATCTTCAAGATCAGAGACCTGTGGCTGTGGCGTGGGCGGCTTAGACCCCTGCATGGATGAGCTCAATGAAGCACCAGGTGCGACCAAAGGTTCTCGTCGGAGACGAGAAGCTGAGCTTGAACGAGCTGGGCTAGGCGAGCGAAGGTCCTGGGCGCGGTTCGTCGGAGGCGGGAAGTTCGGTTTCGCAGACATCGATGACGGATCGGGTTTACCAGAGAAGGGGCCTTTGTTTGGTTGCTGTCCGAACAGCGATGAGCCTGAGAACGATGGTTGGTTGGCGGCAGGTTTCGAGGCCTGAGCGAACAAAGAAGGCTGGGCTGGTGAAGCGCTGCTTCCGGACTGTGATGTGGCGCCGGACTTCATTGTGGGAGGAGTCGGCGCAGGGGGGAAGAACTGCCGTGACTGGTTCACACTGTCCTGGAAGCTCCAGGTACCCGCCTTCGCAGCTTGCGGCTTTGACGTCTTGTTTGGCGGGTATGTGTCGTCGACTTCTTCAACCTCCTCATCGTCCTCCTCATCAGAGAAGCCTTCCTCATCATCATCCTCTTCACTCTCGTCATCATGATCGTGATCATGTTCTTCCTCGTCTTCGTTGTCAATGGGAGATACATCTCCAGACGAACTAGGTGCTTCCACCTCAACGCCAGGACTACCAGCGAGCGGAGGCAAATCGTCGCTAGTCGAATTCGGCAACTTTGTGTTGATGAAGTCTGGAGGTAGAGGTGCGTCCTCAGTTTTCGCCGGCTTAGCCTTGGTGAAGTCTGGAGGCAAAGGTGCGTCGTCCACCGGAGTAGCGGGCTCTTGCACAGGTGGTGCAGCCTTGGGGGTTGCACTCTCCTTTGCAGGAGTGTCACTGGGGAATAACGACTTCTGCTTTGGCGGGGATGCTGGTGTCGTGGAGACCCAATTTGGGGGGTTTTCGCTCGCTGGGGTTGCGGGCGGCTTCATCCCTGTCTTTCCTAGCATGTTGGAGAAGTCACTGCCGAAGAAGGAACCGTTGGCAGGAGCCGCAGGCTTCGCTGGATCGTCCTTAGCTGTACCGTCACTTGCAAAAGTAGTGCCGAGCTTGAAGCCACCCGCAAGGCCGAACAAGCCTTGGGACGGCTGAGCTTGTGGTGTAGGTGTAGCTTCGTCCCTCTTTCGGTCGTTTGCCTCGCTCGCATCGGAGTCCTTCGACTCGAACGAGGCCGTATTGAACGATGACTTGTCTGGCTGTCCAAAGATCGAGCTGCTTTGCTGAGCGGGCGTGTTCGCCCAGGAGGGTAGCGAAGATCCAGTCCCAGAGCCAACGGTGACAGTAGAACCAAAGCTTGGCTCTGTCTTCAGACCTCCAAAGCCAGATTTCTGCTGCCCTTGCCCGAGTGCTCCGAACCCGGAGCCAGCTTGTGCAGAGTTGTTGCTTCCAAAGCTCGAAAAGGAGTTTGACCCTCCAGCAGTTTTGAATTGGGCGAATCCCGACGAACCACCAGCAGCGGCCGAGAATGGGTTGGATTTTGACTCTGAAGTTTGAGATGCCGCTCCCCATGGAGATGCTTTGCCGCCCATTCCACCTACTGCGCCGAATCCGGAGCCGGCACCTACTGCAGAAGGAGCGCCAAAGGCAGGTTTGGCGGGAGTGCCGATTGCAGAGGGAGCACCAAAAGCTGGCTGAGGAGGCTTACCGATTGAAGATGGAGCACCAAATGAAGGCTGTGCAGGTTTACCGAAGGTTGGGGCAGGCAAATTGGTAGCAGCAGTACCGAATCCGGGCGTTCCAAAGCCGGGCGGTTGAGGCTTCATCAGAGCGGGAGTTGGTGTACCGAATCCATTTCCAGCGTTGCCAAAGTGGGGGATGCCAGCTGTTCCTGGGGTGCCGGGTGTTCCCATGGACTTGCTGAAAGGGGTAGATGTAGCGACCGGGAGTTTGGACGCAGGCGTAGATGCCCTCGGAGTAGAAGAAGACGCATGCTGTGTGGCTTCGCTCTTGAAGATGAGACCGGGGTAGCGTTCTCCAGCCTCGATAGACTTGTTCCACATCACCCACCAGGCCGCAAGAAGACCTTCGTGGGTTAGAGCCATGTATGCTGGAAGCGGCCACGGCGCCTCATTGATCTCTTCCAGAGCAGGAATGGGGCGCAGTATCTTCTCCTTGCTCGAAAGATCAAGCGCCTCACCAATGAAGACACTATCCATTTCCTCGTCTCCGTAAGCGGTTCGCGGCACCTGAGCCTTCTTCGTGTCGTCCACGTTGACCATCATGAGCTCGTTACAAGTTTCTTGATCCGGGGAGATCTTGTTGCTTGTGGAGGCAAGTATCGCGATGGAGTCTGCGTGGGAGGAAGTGATAATAAGCATGTCGTCGAGGTCGGGCTTCCAGTTTTGTAGGCGTGTGGACGAGATACGTGCAGGTAGTTGGCGGCGTGGAGCTTCGAATGCCTCGGGAAGAGGATCCCAGACGAAGGAATGGTACGTGAAAGATCCCCAGCCCTTGGCTGATTTGATGACGCTGTACTTCTTTTGCTCCGGGTTGTCCTGGTCTTGGTCCTTCAGAGAGTAGACAGCAAGGAACTCTTCAGTTTTCAGCCATGACACGCCGGTCACCTCGTAGTTTTCATCCACGTCTGGAGGTCGCGGAACGATACCTCTGAGGTCTCCAGCGGTCATGTGTATAGCGCAGGTGCCGTCAATAGAGCCAGAGACTACCGCCTTTCCACGCGCGCTCCAAGCGGCGCAGTTGACGTGTGCCTCTCGAATCGTCTTCTTGACACCCTTTTCCACATCGCATATCTCGAGCTTGCCGTTATCGAGGACTATGGCGAAGTATTGTTCGAATTCGGGGGAGGGGTTTGGGAGGAGAGCGCGAACGGGTGCGTCGGTCGCCAGTTTCGTGTCCGCGTCTTTCTTGCCTTGGCTAACGACACTCGCAACATTGTACGCA